AGGCGAGTGTGTGGTCGTCGGGGAGGGAGGTGGGGGGGGGGGGGAAGGCAGGACCAACCAAACTATAATACACAAAAAGTCCTCCCTGCCCTAAAACATGGGCCAAAAGAGATTACTAACTTGTCTATTCAGACCTCCTGCACGTCAAATAGACCATTAAGACCTAACTCAGCCAACCCCCCAGGAGGCAGCCCCATAACACATAATTAATTAAAAAACCTTCCAGAAAGGCATTTCAGTGCAAAAAGTGCAGGAGATTAAAAAAAAAGATCTACCACTCCTTGTATTAGTTTATTCTGGTGACTACTTGGTTACTAACCTTACAGTAAGAGCATTAGCTCAACCAGTTACTGGTTACCATGCCATTTTCTGCTAGGTAAAATAAATCTTTAGTACCCATTATTCTCTCTTCACTGTAATCAAGTCACATCACAATCTTCTTTTTAAATAAGAAAATTACATACTTTAAGCCTCTCTTTGTAAGGCACCTTCTCTAACTCCTCAATGATCTTTGTGCCTCTTTTCATACCCTTCCAATTCCTTTTACTGAATGAGTATGCCAGAACAGCACACTATATTTTGGTATCAGTTTCATCCGGGCTTTATGCGAGAGTTAAAATAGCTCTCTTCACAGTCCATACATTCAAAGATGGTATCAAACTTCATGTTGTAACACTACATTGAGAGCTCCTATCTATTTATGCTCACTCCACCCTAAAAAGGATTGCAGGATTGTAATTCTCCCAGACGCTGAAGGTTAGGCCTATATTCCTTGGTTTGTTGGAAGAACGACTTTGCATTCCGTTTTCTTCAGAACCTGTTTTGTCTGAATGTGTCCAAATTGCTTGGTATTGCCTTGTCATCATCAATTTCCCTAGGATCTTACATAATTTGTGGACATGATTTTATTCCCAAATCACAGTCAATTATGGAACAGGATGGATGATAGTGGTGTTGTGCAGGGATCACTGCTATTGTATGCTTATGTTGAGAATGGTTTGTTACCTGCTTCACAATAATCCTTTTATCCAGTCCTTCAATAACTACTTCCATGTCAGTCTTCACACTACCTCACCAAAAATTTGTTTGGCAAAATCACCAGAATCTGCTCTTTTGAATTATTATTATTATGGCACAACTTGGCATTCTTCCAATTTTCTAGTCCTTAACAGGTATTCCACGTCAAAGGATGAAAAACTGATCAGCAGCGGGTTAGAAACTGTTTATCTCAGCCTACAGATTTAAAATTACTTGCCCATGATAGATGTTGCCTCACCAAGGATGATGTTACCAGGAGGACTACAGAAACACTTTATTTCAATATTTATTTCTTTCAAATATAATATAGATCTTTAGCAAACACTTTTGTTTCTCTTCCTTCCCCCATTATTGCTCCTGACACCTTAGGACTGAAGACCCTTCTTTGGGCTGACTTAAGCCATTCTCTTGAAAACTAATGATTGATCAACAAATGTGTTTCCTGGAGGAAGAACAGGGAGAATGTTTTAAGATACTAAGTATTTCTACTGTTTCTTCAAAAGAAATGCAATTTTAAGAGAAACATACTTAACTATAAAAGCTTTTCAACACCACTTAAATTTAATTTCTTACAAAATAGCAAATAAAAACACCTCCAGGTAGAGTTTGTTTGTTTTGCTGGGGGTTTTTTTGTTTGTTTGTTTTTAAAAACAGGCATCTAGGTTTTCAAGAGGGCATCAAATCTTGAGCGGATTACATCACCAGGATTTCAACCAAGCCTGTCTGAAGGTTATACATAAAGTCTACAGCCATGCCCCTCAAAATATGCCAGACAAAGAAATAAGAAATTGCTTACTGAAGTAATCCATCTGCTGGACCACCTGGGAGAACATCTGAAATGACTATCGATGTTTCACCATTTTCAAAATGAGGGTTATCTCTGCCACCAGAAACTGCAATCCCAAATCCTCGTTTCGAATCCTTTACAACAAAAACAAATATAACAAAACTCAATTCCATCCACAGGAATTCTGATAGGGAGAAAGAAGAGTAACATGAATGTTTCTGTGATGGCACTCTGCCTAGGTATTACCTGAAATATGACAGTTGCATGCAGAGAGTTGCAGAAATACATAGTACCTCTAGATTTAAAAAGGAACGGGTTTACAAATCCATAACAACAAGACAATATGTTCCCATGTTCCAAAACCTCAGTCTACAGCGTTGTGATGGTTAGTAATTAATCACAGAATCGTTAAGGTTGGAAAAGACACTTAAGATCATGGAGTCCAACCTTTAACCTAGTACTGCCAAGTCCACCACTAAACCATGTCCTCAGGCACCACGTCTACCCATCTTTTAAATACCTCCAGGGGTGGAGACTCAACCACTTCCCTGGGCAGCCTGTTCCAATGCCTGATTACCCTTTCAGTGAAGAAGTTTTTCCTAATGTCCAACCTAAACTTCCCCTGGTGCAACTTGAGGCCATTTCCTCTCATCCTATGACTTGTTACTTGGGAGAAGAGACCGATCCCCACCTCGCTACAGCCTCCGTTCAGGTAGTTGTAAAGAGCAATAAGGTCTCCCCTCAGCCTCCTCTTCTCCAAACTAAATAGCCCCAGTTCCCTCAGCCACTCCTCATAAGACTTGTGCTCCAGACCCTTCACCAACTTCGTTGCCCTTCTTCGGACACGCTCCAGCACCTCAATGTCCATCTTGTAGTGAGGGGCCCAAAACTGAACACAGTACTCGAGGTGCGGCCTCACCAGTGCCGAGTACAGGGGCACTGTCACCTCCCTGGTCCTGCTGGCCACACTATTCCTGATACAAGCCAGGATGTCATTGGCCCTCTTGGCCACCTGAGCACACTGCTGGCTCATGTTCAGGCGGCTGTCAACCAACACCCCCAGGTCCTTTTCTGCCAGGCAGCCCTCCAGCCACTCCTCCCCAATTAAGCAAAGGACTCGCTAACTTAGCCTGCATTTTGCTTCACCATCCCACTGGTTATTCATACCAAATTTGTTGTTAGATAAATCTGTTTTGTTAGTGATGCTTGGGAAACTGGAACAGCTTTTCCAGGATCTCGTCTTCATTATGATTGCTGTCTAGTTTGTAATAACTACTTACTCCTCAATCAAACTGAACAAGATCATGGCTGATTATAAAAAGCAGGCAGTGAACTTGTGAATTCACTTTAACTATCCTCTCTCACAATCAACTATTTTAAGCATGTAATTTGTGTCAAACCTGTTGTCATAGAAATATCAGATCCATAAGCCCTAAGATGGCATTCATAAAATCAGGGAACTACTTAATAGGGTGCGAAGGAAGCATGTGTCTTAACACTAGACATGAGAACTTTTATCCCAACTGAACTGTAGACAAGAAGGTATGCACAAACCCATACATTTTGTTAAACACACAGATTTAATTTTATCAGCTATTTAACATACACCTCCTATCACTATAAAATACAAATTATGCTACATTTAAACAAAATGTTTTAACATAGTGGCAAAGTACACACCAAATTAAAGTGGTGCTTTCCCCCCAGCTCACACTCAGAGTGTGTAGTTCATCACATGCCAGCTCGTGTTCCAGTAATGTCAATATTAAGTGGTTATTTCTTTGAGGGGGGAAAAAAAGCAATTTTTTTTTCTTTTTTAAACAGCACTTCACTTGATGCACCTTAATCTTACAGGAAGCAGTTTGATGCTCCAAGCCAAAGTAATACACAATTGAAAATAATGGTAAAATTCATTGGTAGTGGCTGATGCAGCAAGTCCAATAGCCCTTTGCCACTTCAGTAGTATAAGCCTGTCTCTGAGGCAAAGAAGTAATGCTCATTTACAGGATATTCAAGATCTGAAAAAAGTTGGAAATTACAGGAACTAAGATCTGCTTCTGCAACATTTCTCCTGTCTACTTCTGTAACCTGAAAAACAATCCTTTCTCAACAATTCAGCACATAAACAGGCTGTGTAGGAAAGATCGCTATTTACCTTGGGTCATCAAGTTGAGTTAATCGCAGAACATGTTAAAAAAAAAAAAAAAAAAAAAAAACGTAAGCAGTGTAGCACAGGCTCCTTACTGAACCCAGGTCATTAGAACGGCTGGGAAGACCACCACCACCGCCGCCAAAGTGCACATCCTGTACCACAGTGTGGCAGCCTGGCCACTAGAGAACTCAGAAACAAGGGGTCTACTTTCTTTAACTCAAAAGGACTCCACATAATGAGATACTTCCTCTTTTCTTAGAAGAATTGTTAGAAGTGACATCTGTAGTCCATGTATTTTTGAAATTTTGATGACAATAGTTTTCCACCAGATTCTACACTGGTAAAGTATTAAAAAAAACAAAAACAAAAAAAACACAAAACAAAAACCCCAACAAAACAACAAAACAAAACAAAACAAAACAAAAAAAACAACAAAACCCAACAGTGGAATCATGTTCAGTGATTACTATAAAGCTTGGACATTAACCACAGCTGCTTGATAAACCATCTGCTTTGTTTTAAAGGTTATTCAATGACGAATTTAGCTATGTGGCTGGCATGTGGCATATTATACTGTCATTACAAAGACCAAACAGTAGCAAATATAGCACTTAAATTGTTAATTTAATTTACTCTTAAAGAGTCACGCTATTGTATGAGTAACTAGCAATTAAGCTTTAAAATGAAAAACATATCTCATTTGGACAATGAATTAATCCTATTCTAGTCTCAGATATGCTAATAACATCTATTGTAAAAGATATTTAGACTAAACCAGTGCTTGAATATTTGAAAACTAAAAATGTAACAGGCACTCACTCACCTTTTGTAAGGTCACAGTGTACTGTTCCCATATCAGCTCTTCCATGCCTGGGGCCTGTTGCACACAGAAACCAATTAGTAAAACACAAAGCATACAACTATCTAAATTAAAATGTGAAATAACCCATTAAAACACAGGTATAAAAATAACATGCATATTCTAATAATTTGGTAGAGTTAGCATGAAATGTGTGTATTTTAATGAATTTTGATTTTTCTTTAAAAAGGCAAAAAATATTAATAGGTCTGGGGTGGTAGAATCCCTTCACATTTCACCAATTTAACAGCTCATTCTGATTTTCTGGAAAAGTCTCATTCAGCAAAAGCATTTAATTCAGATCACACTAGCATTATACAGCCCCGATTCAAGTAACACACAAAATACTTAAGGAAGACCTGTCCATTCTGGTATGCAATAAGATTAGGAGTTGAAACTGAGGTTTTCAAAATGAACTAGCCTTCAGACCTTTTGCTTCTTGTTCATGTGGATTTAACAATATGTTTTGTCCACTATGAATTACATAACTGAGTATTTAGGTTCCCCTCAAAAAATTAAATTTTACAGGAAAACACAGTGTATCATTATATAGCACTGGCATATCAATTTCTGTGACACTTCTCAGAAACATTTTTTTCCACATTTCCAGTTAAAACTGATCCTGAACTGATCAGTTTATCTTACATGATATAACCTGAAATCTTTCCAACATCACAGCTTAAAATATAATACAGAATAATCATCCAGTTGTGATGCATCATATAGTACACAGCCAGCCCCTTCAGTGCCTGCCCTGTAAAACAAGGAGAAAAATAAGAAGGGCATGCCTGTACTTTAAAGCATTCCCTGTATTTTGAGAGTAAAAGTCTTCGGGCAGTACACAACTGTTTAGCAAGCTATGGATGCTGTTTCTCGAATACGAAGAACCCCATGGGGTATTCTTCCAGTGGATTCTGAGCACCCCAAAGAGGAACTAGGTTTACATTTTCCATTGCACATTCACTGTACTGAAAAACAAACTTAAAAGCTAAGTCCTGCTCAGAGTTCCTGAGGGAATACGCAAAACATTCAGCATTCTTACCAGGAATTTTACAACACTGAACACTTAAATTTCCACTGTTCTGCCAGAAAATGAACAATGCTCTCCAGTTTCCAGAACCTTTTGGGTGTAATTAAAGAATTCATTTAAAATAGCTGGAGGAGAGGATGGCTTCTATTAAAAATAATACAAATAAGTATTTCTGAATTTCTACTTGTTTAGATCAGGCAAGAATGAGTGGCATTTATAACTGTTAGTATTAAAACATCTATGTCTTGGGTCAGTGAATTACTCTGATGAAGCACGTGGTAAAATTATTTTATCTGATATTACCATTTAACCAGCTGACATGTCTAACCCTTCAACTAGCTAACACTGAACTGTCTCACTACATATATTCTCTTACACAGAGAACCTTCCATAAGTAGGAGATTTCTCCTTAACTAAGTGCTTCTTCTGAGCTGCTGTGATGCTGCTGTAAATAGAAGTGACTAGGTTTGCTTGCCCGGCATGCATGAAAATGCGTAAACAGTTTACCTTGGCTACACCATCAGTACCCTGCTTTTCTAGATGATATTTTTAAGCTCTGCAGAAAACCAGCCTGTGCTGAAGAAGAGCCTCAGTGTCATCTAAATTTCAGTTTACTTCACTGAAGAAACTTTCAGAAATGAAAGACAGTATCAAATGATGGGTAAAATTTGAAAGACAAGCAGGTGGGTTCAAATTTAGTAGAAGCAGGGGAGATGGAAAATCTTTGCCATCCTTCTCACCCTATAAAAGCCTCAACAACTTCCATGTGTAACAAGAACATCACTTAAATTCAGTTTGCACTGTATGCAGTTCTTACCAATGCTACCTCCCAGCACAGAATACTGAGTTCAGCTCTGCATAGGCAAAATAGCAAGGCAGGCAGGATGCAATTGACAAGAGCTTACTACCCATGGGACAAAGAGCAGCATAGCTGCCTTACTCTTCCAGAAACTCTAACACCACTTTCACTACACTATTTACTAAAGGAAGGCCTGAGAAATGACTGCTTATTCAGTATTACACTGCAAAAAAAGGACGGAGAGAAGCACAGAAAAGATATTGGGGATGGATTCATGGGTATGAAATGGGCAAGCTTATAGGAATTTCATTCCAGAAAACTAGGCCTCCCGTGAGCAGTGGCAGAAGTAAAACCTTGCGCACAATTGGAGAGACACATTGTGTAGCAAATCAAAGCATTATAAACTAACAGAGTTCAGTTTATTTTGCTCTGACAAATAAGTCTCATGGTATCTAGTCACAAAAATAAGTAATGAGAATGGAAGAGCAACTACTGGCTACAGACACTACAGTTAAGGTCTTGCAAGATGTTGAGCCTATAGTATCATCTCATCTGTGCCTAGAAAAAGTTCCTCATAGTGTCAGTAACTGCCTCAGGTACCTGCTGTGTAGATCTTGGGGGTTTATTTTTAGCTTGAAACTGTTACGGAACATTAAACAAAAGCTAATTAAATAATTCACTTTTACATGCAGAAGTATTTGTTAAAGTAATACATTTTTAAAAACTGCTCCTTGGGAAACTGTCTCCCGTTTGCTGTTTGCTATATCAGTGAAGGAAAGAACACTATGTACTTGCAAAGCTGATTTTGTGCAACATTACTACCAAGACAACCAGACTAGTTCTGCCATACTGATAAAGCTATGCAGGCTCTGTAACACAGTTTAGAGAACTGAATGGTCACCTTGGAAGCCCATAAGGCACAAAACACATCTGTACTCCCTCAAATCTCTAAGCAATAATCTCTTTAACATCATAAAACATACTGCTGCTTGCCATTGCGACGATGCTAACCCATACTGACAGATTAATGGGGAAGAGAAGATTGAGAGGGAGGGAGACTACAAATGTTACAAATCATCAGCTGAGGACTTGATCAACACTAAGATTGAAGTCTCTGCCACAGTCACAAAATTCCTATATTCCACGTGTAATAACATGACTCTCCTCTGAATGCATGGGTTACAAAAGCCTCCATCACCTTGCCAATTTCTTCCTATTTCATCTGTAAGGAAACACAAAGGGATCCTGAGCAGCCTATGCATCCCTCATAGGATCGCCATTTCACTGCAAGATTGCACACCAGGACACTGAAGAGAGAAAGGCAGGCAAAATGGTTAAGAACCCCACCTCCAGTCACTAACAGTAACTGTTTTGCAAGTCTACCCAGGTTTCACACAGATAGCAGGCTACCTGCAGTAAATACAAATTACTGTAATTAGCTAGTCTAAATTAATTAGTGACTAAAGTCAGTCCATTTCCAATTAGAACACTGTAGTCAGGATTTGCTTAAATCTGCCTAATGCTCATATACCAAAATGACAGGTGCTTTCTACATACCCAAAATAGACTGCTTAACAGAATCTTTGGCAGGAAACTAGTCAAAGTGCTAAAATCGTGTGTGTGCTGTGAACAGGCAGCTGTTGCAGCTCTCACTGACACTCATCAGAGATTTATGCAATTACTTGCTAGTGAGAGATCACCAAAGACAACTTCATTCACACTGAAAGAAGAACAAAACCAGAAGACCTGCCGCAACAGTTATCTGGCTATAAAAGTGAGTTGGAGAGGGGAAGGATACACAGGGGAGAGGGGGGGAGAAAAGACTTGGAGCAAGACGCAACAAAAAGCAACTCACGTGCCCTTTCAAAATCCCCAACTTTTTGACTGCATGTGACCACATTCTCTGCAGAGCTTGAGCTGTCTTCATTGTTGCAGGATATAATCTGTGAGAGGACGCCGTACATCCCCGTCTTTTCATCTGTTTCCACCACTCAACACGGTTATGTAATTCTAATACAATAGTGGCCTACATACTCGAACAAATCCTGCCGTCAGTTTCACACAGAAACACATCAAAACCACAGTAGGGAAATCTAGCAGGAGTTTAACTAACTCTCACTTTAAAAGACCCCAGGAAAAAGCAGTACTGTAATCTTATGCTTTTTTAAAAAAATAAAGCAACAGGGACAGATCAACATGTAGTAAGTTATTCTTCTTCCAAGCACATATGGGTTCACCCCACCAGGAAGCTACTTGAAACTTTGAAGAAAAAAGGCTTAAGAAGCACAGTGCAGAGTATTCGAAAATTCCTATTCTGACTATAATATTTTACAGTAAAAATTACCACTTGACTCCATTATTTTGAGTAACACTGTGGTTTAGCAGCCTCTGAAAGAGAAACAAAATTCTAACAGCTGCAAAGAACAGACACTCCCCCTGCCCTCAAACATTTAGTAAGTTATTTGTAAGAATAATAAGCTAATCATACAGCCAAACAGATGACTTCATTGCAAAGTCAGGTCAAGCTATCAGTTCCATCCAGGCCACCTGAATGCTGTGAAATTTAAGCCTTAGGCGAACTTTTCCCTTAGACTTCATGTCAGTTAGTTTCCCAGGCAGTGAACAGATAGGAACATATGCCAAATTCAGTACACAATGCTAACCAAAACCTAGACTGCATTTTTTATTAGTGGAACAATTTTAACTGCTGAAGAGTAAGAATTCAGACAGCAGTGTAAAATGTAGAGGTTTCCCCCCCCCTCCTTTAAAATCAAGACTGAATTCAACGTCCTGTGTTTTGACTGTGACCCCATCTCTGCACTTGCCAGCAGAAGTAGGATGAACACAGGCTTGCACCTTCAGCACTGAGCTGCCGAGAGTAAACACTGTTCAGACTGCACTGAGGGGGTTGAGGAGAAACACACTGACACCAGCCTCTGACTGGGGCTTCCCACTTCCAGAGCACATGAGTGGATGTATGTAGTTTAAGACTGTCACTAGAGTTTGGTCAAAATAGTTTAGAATTTCCATCAACATTTCTAAAGAAAAAAACTCATTCCTCTGAACAGACTCATATTCACAGCTTCCAAAACTGTGTTTTAAATTTACTTATTTATTTTTACAAAAACAGCAGGAAGCAGAAACAAATGTAAGGATGTATTTGAGACCTCTAGCCCCGTCTTAGCTCTC